ATACATCAAGAACTCAATATGTTAAGATTTAAGGTTTGTATAGTTCATGAGGATGGGCCAAGCAAAGGAAGCAATTGCTTCCGGCCGTTTGATAATAACACTATTTTCGGCCACAGTTTTTTAAAACTCTCCCTTAGTCTAGTGGTAAAATGTAAAAACTATTGACTTTCTTATACCAACGTCCCAGGTTTAAACCCACACAAAAGCGGCCAATTTTTTTTAAATTGCTTCTGATCCTGAATTTATTTTTTTTTTTAATTTGCTTCTGATCCTGAATTTCCTAGGATCGGCTCTGATCTCAAGTAACATACCAGATTTCTGTTGGAATGAAGAGGGAATGACGAAAGGAAGAAAGTCGTTAAGGATTCAAGGCAAGTAGAAGAAAAGATGCTCCACAAACTTGAAATGGAAGTTTGTCTGTTCAAACTTGATCCACAAGTAACCAAGCTGACTTAATCTACCTTGCAAGGCAGGAAAGAAGTTGGAAGGCTTAAGGGACGTTACTAAGCTCCAGAAACCTTAGGCTACTCAGTTTGAATTAAAAAAGAAGGATATGATTTGAGTTCAACAAGAAATATCACATGTGGTGCATAAGGACAAGAGCTGACATGTCACTATAACCCTAAGGAGACTGTGTCTCTCCTCCTATTTTTTTCTACTCCTCCTGGACGAGCCATACCTTAGATGTGTCTCTTTTGGCATGTTCTCATTTCCTACATAATTATTTGTTTATGTTTTCTTTTTTTTTTGTATTAATTGTTTAACGTTATGTATTGCCTATTTAAAGGTTGTTTCATCACTTGTAACACTTACCAGAATCAATGAATACAAATTTCTTTCACAAAATTTCGTGTGATCACTCTCTCTCTTACTTGTATCTAACTAATATTCACAATGGCCTATCCTCTAAAATAGAGAGTTAATGGTAAATTTTTAGTTATGTGTTAAGATTTAAGGTTTGTATAGTTCATGATTATGTATTAAGGGTATATGTTTTTATGATTCTGTTAATGGGCTTAAGTAGAGATAGTGTTAATTATAACAAATATCATCGATAGGCCATGAGTTTGGAGGGATAAATTGTCTACATGGACCCTGTAACTAGTAGAAATCCTAAGAAATGACTTTAGTGATTTTTTGCTTAGGTATCACTCATATAAAAATTTAGAATTAATTATTTTAATTTGATTGGTTATTAATTTTAATTTTTTTTATTTAAATCAAAAATTTTAAAGGAAAAACCAATTATAGAATTACCTAATCTAATCCATGTTACCAAATAAACAATCAAACATCTTAAATTTAAATGAATTATCATAATTTTGTGTTGAAACAATTGATTATCCTAGATTACATTATATAATTTTACTAGGTAATAACCAGCGCCTTGCGCGAAATGTGATTATTAATTTTATTATTTTTAATAAAAAAATATATTAAATCCTTTTTAATTTGGATATTGATTCAGTTTTGGATTTTTGTTTTTTTGTTTCTAATTTCATAAAATATAAACATCCTTCTAAATGATTATTTATTTTGGTTTATTCAGGATAAAATGTTTGATGTTTTTGGTTCTTTTAGTGATAACCAAAAATTATTATTATCTGTTTGGTTTTCATCTTATATGAATTTTAGATAGTTATAATGTCAAACCAATGATTTTATATTATAGTTTGTAAACGGATGATAGTTAAAGAAAACGAAAAGAAAATTATTAAGACAAAATATATTTCACTACAATTTGACCGAGTGAAAAATATATTAAGAAAAAAATATTTCAACTTCTAAAAGAATCGGATACTTTAGTTTTGGTGAATGTTTAGTTATATAGGTGATCACGTCAATGTGCACATGCGTTTGTAAAAAGTATATATATATAGGTGGTTGATAAATATATAAATATAGTGTTAATTAATATTAAATGGTGTTTTTTTTTCAAAATAACACATGAAAAATAAAAATCATTAACATAAAATTAATTAAAGATGAAATAGGCCTAGACATTAGTGATTTTTTCATATAAATAAATCAAATTCTATTCATAAATAGGGGTGGACATGAATCGCATATCCGGGTATTGGAAGTATTCGTGTCGATTTGATCCGTAGCCACCTTGATATTTGGTGTCTCAGATATCCTGAAAATTTTATAATTTTAATGGATATCCGATTTGATTCGTAAATAAAATAAAATTTATTAAAATAAACTAGAATATAAAATAATACAAAATAATAATACTTATTACAAAAGAAAACATTATTTAAAATTTTAAATTCTAATACCTAATATAATAATTTGATACATAAAAATATTGTAAAACTTATATAAAATATATTATATATATAATTCTTTAAATATATGAATATATATATATATATATATATATATATATATGAATATAACAGATCAAATCAGATATCCATTCTTAAAAAATATTAATATTTGTGATTTTTTTGTTGTTTACGGATATTGCATTTTAGTATTTGATTTGCGTCTATATCCAGATTTTTTGGTTCAAATCAAAACATAAACTAAATCGAATAAATATTTATAAATATTTTGTCCAGCCCGATCCGTAAACAGTAAAAATAATATATATATATATATACATATATATATATATACATTTTGATTCGAACGGAAAAATTTGGATTGTGTGATTTTTATTAGAACTTTGCATGTGAGTTGTATATCGAAAAACCGGAAAACTCATAATGTGAACACATTTATGTATAGTTTATCTGACAAACTCTACACGTGACACGTCAGCATTCTTATTCTCAAATTGCTGTGAGGTTGACATGTGTATCTTAAAATGTGAACGGATTTATTACAATGTTTCTCTTTTAATATATATGGGATAATATAAATATATATATATATGATACTATAAAAACAATTATATAAACAATTTTTATAATATTATATTTACAGTGGATGCAATAAGCTATAGCTTGCATAAAATTAATAAATAGAAACCTAATAATATTAATATTTTCTACTCACTATATACATATATTATAAAAATGTGTCAAGTGAATGCAAAACAGTGAAATATAATTTGAAAATAAAAATTCAGGCATTGTAATTGACAATGTGATATTATAGTTGAGTTTTCACTTTTATAAATGATTAGAGTGTTTTAATTTAAATTTATTTAATTCATTTTAAAAATAATAAATCAAAAACTAACTTACATCAATAACTAAACAGATCAAATTTACCAATAATGATTATCAAAATATGCATTTAAGGAAACTGAGTCATCGATTCTCGGTTTTGTGTCATAAAGTATCTTATGAATTTAATTAAACAAATGTTTTACGAAAGAGAGAGATTTGAAAACTTTCCCTTGCATATTTCATAAATAATAATAAAAATAGAATTAGTGGTTGATAATTTTATTACGTATGTATTATATAGATAATAATATACAAATTATATATAGTATAATTTAAAATAAAAATAAAATTAATTTTAGATAATAAGCATATTTAACATTTCCAATTAAAAATCTGGTAAATTATTTCACATTTTAAATGAATTGTTTACAAAAAAAAATTAAAAATATTCTTGTATGCTATATAAATTTATAATTAAAAATAAAATACAATTATTAATAATTTTCCTTAGTTTTCTATTGCATAGATAATGATATACAAAATATGCATATATAAAGTAAAATTTAAACGTATTATACATATCAAAAAACAAATTGAAGATACTTTTTAATCAACAAACCCGTAAAAACTATATTGATTGTAAAACAGATAAATAATTTTATACATATTTAAAAACAATCTGTTTAAAAAGCATTTGTTTTTTATTTACAAACATATCAATAAGAACTGTGTGTTTAACACTCTAACTGTTTTCATTTATCAAAATCATTTTAATTAAAATTTGTTCATAATGTTTTAAGATTTTGTACCAAATGATATTTATTTATATCATAATATGAAACTTCTTATCATCTATTAAATACGAAGACTATTACTATAAATGCATAACAATGTATAATATAATAGAAACTAAATCTTACATGGAATTTTATTAAACTAATGGGAAGAAATTTATTAAACTAATGGAATCTATATATATATATAATATATATATATATAAATATATAGTTTTGTTTCTTTTCCATAATCGTTATATATAATTTAGTTTCAAGTATGAAACTAAAGTATCTATAAAGATTAAGGAAGTGCCCATACATATTTTTTCGGTCTGCTGCCTACTCTATCTATATAAAAACTGCTGCGTACCTTGTGTGTGTGTGTGTCTTATGTTATGTCTGTAAACTCTGCTTTCTTCTACTGGTTACCAATTTAATTTTTATTATAAATATAATTATAATCGTTTCAAACAATCTGTTTTAAGTTATCATGCCTAGCTCGATGCCTGGTTTTGATTGAAGGGCTATGTCCCCTATTTGACGTATTTTGTTTGCAGCGGATGCCTTCTTCTTATGGTAGCTGTTAAGATGGTAAAGTCTGCATTTCATTAGTTACGCCGACGAATCTCTTCTTGAGATTCATCTGTTGCGTTTTTATTCTAACCATGTTCCTTGGCTCGTGTAGGCAAGCTTTGTAGTATTGCCAGAACAGAAGCACAAACTGACTTTTCAACAGAGTTAAAGCCTCTCCATTTGTTGGACTCTTCCGAAACATCTCAGTCAAGCTTAATGGTAAGAGATTGTAGTAGTTTCTGAATATTATGATTTCTGTAGTGGCAATACGATGATTTCTACAAAGGCAAGCTTCTTGAGATTCACCTGTTGCGTTTTTATTTCAAACTGTCGACAGCTGTGTTTGATGTGTTCTCAGTCCCTTAAAAGCGAACTATTTATGGGGGTGTAGTAGTTTCTGAATCCATTCGATGAGGATAGAGGAGAAGTTACATACTCTTTGGAGTCACAGACAGAGGCATATATGTCGTACAATTGCCTGCTCACTACTAGCAAAACCAAATTCAGAGAAAATCAAAGTTTTGTTTATGTTGCAGTAACTTGAGATAAAACACAGTATCTCGATGATATCATCTCTATTCAGAGCTGGCTTTGCATGCCCAACACTGAACTTCAAGAACAATGTGTCCCGGTTTACCATCCATGGTTTCTCGAATCATAGCATGGTACACGACAGGCATACCAGTGGGGTCGCCATTGCCAGCTCTGAAACTCATGTAGAAGATGGCGTTGTTGGACTTCAGCTTTAGGTGCGGGGGATCTTCTCCGCTTTCCAAAGTCTGTACAATTACTTTCTTCATCTTCAGTGGTAGAAAAGACGGCAGGCCCTTCATTGACAACAAACGCATTAGGGGGTTGGATTAGTGAAAATAAAAAAAAGTGTTGAGCCAGTTTTGTTTTAAAAGGCAAAGAAGACATAATACCCCATGCCCTCTCCACCTCACGTGAAAGGCAAACTCAGCATAGAGTTGAAGCCACTCGTTTCCTAGCAAGTCTGATTCTTGTAGCTGTGAATCAGATATCATAAAAGATTCAAAGAAAAATATTTCTGACAAAAAAAGGTTCACCAGAATAAATACCTCATAGTATTGCCCCTTATCAGTGGCTGCAGCGAGTTCATCTTTTGTCAACCAGTTGGGCATCTTGCCTTTATAGAAATCATCTACGGCTTCATCTCTCCATCGCCTTTCATTGCAAACGTCAGAAGTAGCCCGAGGTCCATTGGGAACTAAAAGGACAAAAAGTATATAAAGAAGATAAGAAAGAAGATCAAAACTGAAAAAGAAAAAATTATTCACCAACCTTTTAGTCTGGAAAGCTCCGTCCATACACTGAAGTATCCCCATTCAGGAGTTGGATACTCAACTACGCACGTTTGAAAAGTGCAAGGAGTGTTGTTGCGTGTGTCTGCTGCATCCAACGTAATGTAGAAGGCGAAAGGGTAACCACCCTTGTTAGTGTTGTACTTATGTATGCGTATGAGCTTGAAGTTGGTTTCCTATAAAAAGATCAAAGGTTGACTACGACAATAGAACCAAACATAACAATAAAGATAAAAATAGCACATCGATCGATTACCTTCTGAAGATTGTAGCAGTGAATGCCCAGTTTACTATAGAGGAAGGTATAGAAAGGGGAATAGTCATCTTTCATCTCGTTGGGAACTAACCCACCTAAAGGATGAGGTAAGTAATCAACATCGAAACCCTAAAAAAAGAAAGGTAAAAATTTTGATTTATTGGAAACCCAAATTGAAAAGCAACTATCAAAAACGATGAATTTGCCTAGGATTCATGATCCCAATAATCTACAAGTGCTAAAAAGGTATTATTCGTATCAATTTGTTTTTTGTATTTTTAGTCAAAATCGAGAAGCCATGCAAACCATCTAGAGAGAGAGATTACATCGGAGTCATCAACTTGGCGTTGATATTCCTCCTCTTCGTCAGAGGCCAATTCATCTTCTTCACTCAATAGATCGTCGCCATCGTCCGCTGGAAACGGGAGACTTTTAGGTGAAGCTGAGGAGGCTGAGCAACTTGGAGTTTCCAGTTTCCGTTTACGCTCCCGCTGCTCATCTCCAGAACTTGGAATTGTATCCGCCATTCTCCCCCAATTTCACCGAAACCCTAATTCAATCTCTGAATTTTCTTTTTCCCTCTTTTCTTCCTTTAATGTTTAGTATATATATATATATATATATATTTTTTTTTTTTTCTTTATTTATTTATGTAAGAGCAAGTCCATCAGAAGTTTTTAGGTAAGGTTTTTTTTAAAAAAAATTAAAAAAATAAATGAAAATATGTAAAACAAGAGAACTGCTGTCCAATATATGATTTTCATAATTAGTAAAAACCCCATACATGTCCCTGTGGTCTTAGCCGTCACTCTCTTTGTCGATATTTTTTTTTCTCAGAAATCTGGTCGTCGTTGTTGCCCGCTGCTGCGTCCTCCTCCAAATTCCCAAATTCGTCCATGAAATCACCGTAAAGGTTTGAATTCTTTGAGTTTCTTGTGTTGATTTGATTTTCGTTGAAATTGAAATTAGATTTTAATGATGAGAATTGAGATTATAACCGGACAGAGAGAAGTGGAGAAAGTGATTTGTCGTTTCTACCACAAGGAGTACTAGCTAGGCTTTATACTGATAGAGTACTGAAAGTTGGATATAATATCCAAACGGTTAAATATCTCTATTTACCTTCCAGCTTGTCTCTGTTTTGATATTTTTCTCCTTTGTTACATCTTATTAGAAAATGAAAGTTGAATTTAATATCCAAACGGTTAAATGTTACATGACATTGTATGATGCTATATATATAATGCACCAATTTTCTTGTTGCTGATACATCAGGTCCTCTGTGTTGGTGTTTTCGTCCAAACCCCTCCTCTAAAGCCAACATTTTCTATAGGGAATGTCTCTAGATTCAGTTTCCCAGAATCTCTGACGCATTTTGGCCAAATTACCTTAGCATATTGACATGTACCTCAACATCGGAAGGCTTTTAGGACACAATCATGATGGACTAAACTTTTCAGGATACAATTCTAGAGAGAGCTCATGAAGGCTAGTATTTCTATTTTTATAAGTTTTTATGTCATGAAATCCAATAATTTATAGATTTATAAAATTTAAATCACTACAAGAAAACTAAGCCTTTACTAGGAAAATTTACTAGGAAAAATCTTCCTCGTAAAATTACTAAGGCCTTACTTCGAGTTTACGAGGAAAGCAAATTTCCTCGTAAGATCCTCGTAAAATTACGAGAAAACGTTTTCCTCGTAAGACCTTAGTAATTTTACGAGGAGCTTACGAAGAAAAAGTACTTTTCCTCGTAAAGTCGTAGTAAAGACTTTCCTCGTAAACTCATAATAAAAGTTTATTACGAAATTAGGAGGAAACGGTTTATTACTACGAAATTAGGAGGAACTGGATAGGAAATATCGAAGTTAAATAAAAAACGTGTTTTGTACCTACTTTTCCTAGCAATTTCCTAGTAAATGCTCAGATTCGAAAATTTCTATAAATACCACCTTATGTGATTCATTTGAAACACACCAAAAAAAAATCAGCTATAAGCTTGATCAAACACAAAAAAATGTCCGGTCCGGGAAATATTTTCGAGTTGCGGCAGTGGATGTATTCACANTCGTGAAAATGTTTGGAAGCATTTAATAAATAGAGGTTTCATGCCATATTATTATATTTGGTATCAACATGGAGAAGATGCTAGTTGTAGGAATGAAGGTAGCAGTAGTAATCAGGTTGAACCGGTTGATCATTTGCGTAATGAAGGTAGCAGTAGTTATAGCTATGATCATCACCAAGAGGAACAAATGGTAGATTGTAATAGGGTTCATGATATGGTAGGTGATGCATTTGTAACTCATGATGATGATGAAGTTGAAGAACCTAACTTAGATGCAAAAAAGTTTTACGAAATGTTAGAAGCTGCAAATGAGCATTTACAGTGGTTGTAGAGAAGGTCTGTCTAAATTGTCACTGGCTGCTAGAATGATGAGTATTAAAACCGATCACAATCTACCTGAAAATTGTATGTATGCATGGGCAGACTTGTTTAAAGAGTATTTGCCAGAAGACAATGTGTCTTCTGAATCTTATTATCAGATTCAGAAATTGGTATATAGTCTTGGGTTGCCCTCGGAGATGATAGACGTTTGCATCGACAACTGCATGATCTACTGGGGAGATGATGAGAAGTTAAAAGAATGTCGATTTTGTAAGAAGCCACGATTCAAACCGCAAGGTCGAGGGCGCAATAGGGTACCGTACCAAAGGATGTGGTACCTACCAATCACAGACAGATTGAAAAGATTGTACCAATCTGAGGAGACTGCTGGAGGGATGAGATGGCACGCCGAGCATACTCAGGCGGATGGAGAGATGACTCATCCATCAGATGCAAGAGCCTGGAAACATTTTAACAACTTACATCCACATTTCGCTAGCAATAGCCGGAATGTGTATCTTGGATTATGCACTGATGGATTTAGTCCATTTGGAATGTCTGGGAGACAATATTCATTGTGGCCGGTCTTTCTTACACCGTATAACCTGCCACCGGAGATGTGCATGCGACGAGAGTTTCTATTCATGAGCATATTAATACCTGGTCCAAAACATCCAAA